CAACTTAAGTCCATTTAGGAGATAAATCAAGACTCTTAAGGGCTGGTGAGATGGCTCAGCGGTTAAGAACACTGACTTCTTTTCCAGAGGACCTGAGTTCAATTCCCAGCACACAACTGTCTGTAACTCCAGTATCCGATACCCTCACACAGACACAAATGCAGGCAAAACACAAATGCACACAAAATAAAAATAATTTTTTTTTAAAAAACTGAATAAAAGCAAATTCTCATAATTAAAATTTGTAGTGAACTGAACAAAACCAATCTATAAAGTGAACTGTTCAAGCTGATAGTAGCATTACTTATTTTAAATTGAATAATCCTTGATAGTGAATGCTGCAAAGTGATTAAAGTCAAACAGACCTACAGGCTTTCAGACATTCCTGCTTTTCCTCGGCCTGGACTTTCCAACTACCTACTCTCTTTGGCTGACAGCACTGCCAGGGAATAGGAGCAGCAACAAGACAAACCACAAATTTTTAAAGTCAATATGAATAGTGACATATTTTGTTAATTTGGGACTATCAAAAACTTTAGTTCTTCATGGCAAACCCTGGAACGGGAATTCAATAAATCATATCTACAAGACTACATGGAAAGAACAGCTGGTCATTCTCAGAATTGATGAATTTAAATAGGTAAGCCTATGAGACACACACACACACAGTATGTCAGCAGTTCTTTCTACACATCCATTTATTCTTACAAATTACTACACTGTCCAAAGCAGATTTTCTCCTTTCAGATTTTTTCTGCTTTCGATGGTTCAAAAAAATGTATCTTTAACTTAAATAAACGTAAACTGTTACACATATCACATGAGCCATACTAAAACTTGTTAACTAGTACTGAAAGGTTTTTTAAATGCCACGCACATATTAATGCTAATTAATGCAAACAAGAATACTTTCCTTTTCAAAAATCTTAAAATATATTTAGGGAATCCCTCTAAAATGTGAACAGCAGATCTAGCCAAACAGAAAAATGTACCAACAATGAGTGCATACAGTGTATGTAATTTGGATGATACTTTGAACCAAATTGTTAAACAAAAGTTCCTAAAAGTAGACTTCTGTGTTAGTCAACCCACTCTATATAAATTGTATTACTGAGAACAACTATTTAATTCAAATCAAAGGCTATGATACACTATTGGTTTGGCAATGGTTTTCCCCCTACTAAACAAATCAAATTAATTACATTCTTCCTCAGAAGCAAAAACAGCCTACAAATAGAAAAAAGTGTTTTTGTCTTATAAGTGTGTGTGTGTGTGTGTGTGTGTGTGTGTGTGTGTGTGTGCGCGTGTGTCAGGGGGTGGCAGTGTTCATGTAAATAATTCATGTACAACCAAAAGGAAAATTCCTCCCTACTATACATCATTAAAAATAAAAACCCAAATGACTTTTCGGTACTTTTACGTTTCCTTTCTAGGCAATCTTCAGAATAGTCAATATCTTCACAAAATGTTTTTTTTTTTTCTAAGTTAAAACCACAAGTGTTTCTTGTTATTTTAAATGTCACTGGTGTTTTTAAATATAAAAAAAAAAAAACGATAAAATCAGCTTAAAATAAATTTATTGTACAATACAAAAAGTAGGCATACTGGAAAATAAAGGTACATTATTAAATATACAAAGCAAATGAAGAAAGCTCAACAACACAAATGTTTTAATCCAAACACTAAGATAAAATGCACAACATTTATGCTAAAAACAAAATATTTTAGGAAGAATATGCATTTCAAATGAAATGTTAATGATGGCAAAAAAACAGGAAAAAGAAAAGAAAAATATGCTATTATGTAAATGCTTGAATATCAAGAATCAATAATGGCAGGAAAAATTAAACCCAACAATACTGGGTACTTCTCAAAGAACTTTATTTAAAAAGAGATTGAGACTACTGAAGGGATTGAGCCACACCTGCAAACTGGCAAAGCTTTCCTTTCCTTTTTGTCTGCAGACATTCATAATATCTTACCCCTTCTTACACTAGTATCTTCCTATACACATTTCTGAATGCTTGTTCATAAGTTAACACTGCAGCTGACTTTATACCACTTCATATTTAAGTGTGCATTCGAGAATTCCCAGAATTATATATATCAAGTGCCACAAATTAAGTCATTTTGAATTTTACACAAATATGCACACAATATGAAATTTTTGTAAAGCAGTTATTTTGTAAAGTAGAGCCAACTTCTGAATCAAACAGCCAATTTTAAGTATAGAGAACAAAGGGAAAAAACAATCTTTTCTTCCAATTAAGGCATTCAATGAAATGACCTAAATCACAAATGGCCCTGGGTACAACTAAAAGAAATGCTCAATGTCCACAGGAGGGGAAGTGGCAAGACTTTTGAAGCATCCAGTTAGGAAATGCATCTGACACTGGAGCAATGTAATCATTTAAATATGGAATTTTTAAATTAAACTAACTTAAATTAGTCCAAAGTTTTTAGGTAGCACTTCTGGGAAGAAACTCCTTTTCTTAATGTCATAATTTCCAGTCTCAAAACAGATCATCAGGATTTTTCTGTACTTTGTTATATAGTATCTGTATCAGTGAAGTATTTTTTTCCTGTGTATTTAATTTGACAGAACCTACCCTACTGTGCATATACCATAATTCTAAAAAGATATACAGCATTTATTCTCAACCACTTGTCTAAAATTTACAAGTTTAAAAATGAATTTCAAAATAAACTTGAAATTGTGAAAAACAAGATACATGGATGAAGAAATGTAAATAAATTCTACAGAACTTTAATATCACTTTGCCAACACAGATTTTAAAAGTATGTATAATTGCTCTCAATTGAATTAAATGGAATATGGTTCTCTTGAAAACAAGTTTTGATTCTCAATATTGCATTTTTAAAACAAACAGAAGCATTCAGATTTAACAAATACTTTAGTTGTATATACTTAATACCTTCAGACTAAATTCATTCCATAAGTACTCTAATAAAAGTTTGAAAAGAACAAAATCCATGAGATGTCATAATTTATCACAAAAGAAATATTCATTAGCACTTATGAAACATAGTAAAATTACTAAAAGCTAAGAAACAAAAATTTACCATTCATACTTAAATACAACAAAAATTTACATGAATAATATGAAAATACAATCCATTTTGAAGATATTCACTGCCTCCTTTTCTGAGCAACTAACCATTATAACTTTTTAACAACAGAACACACCATTCTCACACATCTGCAGTTCTTTGGCTGGACTGTTTCAGTGAATGTGAAACACTCCTAATACATGTGATTCTGACACAACAGAGGACTTGAAAAACAAAACAAAGCCACATTTTAAAGTATTTCATAAAATTTAACTGCATTTTAAATACTCAGAGCCAATCTATGACTGTAACTGGCATATGTATAAACCAAAGCTAATTTTATAATCTACTGCACTTTTTAAAATAATTTGGATTACTTTGCCTTTCTAGTTTTGTATTTAGTATGGAAGTACTTTCTACTGTCATTACCAATATCCCATCAGGTATAGGATAGGATAGGATATATAACTGGAAAAGAAAAAGCAAACCCAACAATACTTATTTAATACGTAGGTTTTAGAACTAAGGACAATATGGTTATTTGACTAGTTAAAATTTTAATGAAATTAAAGAAATTGCATTTTCTTTCAGTTTTAAAAAATAAAGCAAATTTGCCTTATTTGTAAATGATCTTCTAAAAATTAACAAATCTTTTTATTTCTTTATACAAAGATTACAAGCAAAAAAATTTTGTTTAAGTTTTATGGCTCCAGTACCCAAGGTTGTTAACAATGAAAAACTCAAATAAATACTTGAGGAGGGGGAAAAAGCCTAAGGATGTTTCCGCAGTTAAAAGAAGGAAAATTCTGTAGCTAGAGCCCATCTCTTTAGCTTCTCTCCCCCAGACTCTCCATTCTATACACTACAGTTGTAGAGGTGTCCTCACTTGACTCAGGTGACACTTTTTTCCACACTGTGTCTTTTAAAGCAAGTTCTTGCTGGAGACTCTCATAGTCCAATGGTCCAAAGGAATGCTAGTTGTTCAAGCAACATACACAATTTATTAGTGCACTTGAGTGATGAAAGGTCCAAGCTATAAAATGGTATTTTTCAATGAAAGTTATTAAGATCCATTAATATCTTCACCCACTACCATCTGACATCATCTTACATGTTATTCATGTTGATTGGTAGGAAATTTCCTACATTGTCAGCTTTCCAAAGTTCTCAAATATTATCAATGGTTACTCTGACTGGAACTAACACAAATTTAAGCTGGCACTTACAAAAATGTACTCAGTACATATTAAAATTATTACTTGTAAGTGCTTTTCTAATGTACTAGTAGGTAATCTTATTCTTCACATGGGATACAATGAATGTTATTAAAATTCAACAGCAAGTCCTTTGGTCCAATGAAAAAGAAAATTAAATCCTTATCTTAATACTAAGCTCTAAAAAGGAATAAGTATTCCTTTTTAAGTATACATAATGAGGCCACAAACAGTGATAATAAACTAACAAGACCTTAAGGGTATTTACATGGAGTACTAGAGCTTCATTGCTTCCATCAACATTGGATCATTATGTTCTAGAAAAGTGTTTTGTCTTCAGTGGCCTTATTTTTACGAAGTTTAATGTACCTTTCCATTTACATATCCATCCACAAAGTACTACTTAATTCCAAACTTAATCCCAAACAATTACTGACAAATATTAAGAGTAAAAACAAGGCATTAAAAAAATTAGATTCTTAGTACATAAAATCTTCCAATAAAACAATTACATAAAGCAGCAGAAACCAGTTAAAATATCAAAAAATAATTATCTACATAGTAGTAACTGAAAATAAAAATGTCAACACCTTATTTATTTGAAATTGGCAAAGACATGAGACTGTTAACAAACTAAAGTTTGATTTAAGCAAGCGAGTCTATTTCTCTGTCTTACAGAACAATGGAGAAGAATCTAAGAAAGGACTGGCTTACCCTTTGATCACCACCTTCTCTCCGAGGATCAAGTTTTTTTGCAAAGTGTCTCAAATTATCATAGTTATGGAAGTTACACAGAGAAACCAGATCCTGTAAAGAGTTACAAAGAATACATTTAAGAAATCAGCTATTCACTGGCTATGTTTATTCATATTCCAACAAATTATGCTTACACTATGCAGCTTCACAACTGTCTCCTAGCAACTACACTGCCAGCTAGTCAAACAACCCAATGAGTAAGGAAGAGGAATGACACCAGGGTAAGACCTGAACATTAAGGCTCAGTTACTCAAACTGTTATTTTCTGTAACACAGCATTTTTAACAGGTCACATGACGGCAAGTTATGTAAAATAACTATAAAAATACCATAAAATTCATCTCTTAAAAATCACTTATCCAAAATACAGTGTCACTTTCTAGACTGTAAAATACTTAAATCTGAACAGTAAGCAGAATTTCAACTGGGAAACCCACAAATGTACAGCACTCAACTGGGGCTCTGGGAAGTAATAAATGAAAATAAACACAAAAGCTGAAACATTAGCAAAAATTAGTTGGTAACAAACCACTAAACCAAAAATAAAAGCACATAATTTTTAAAACTTGTCTTCATTTTTATTTGCAGTAAAGTTGCTTTAATAACCCAACTGTTAAGAGATTTGAAATTTTAATTCTCTATTGCAGAATTCTTAAGCACTGAAAATAAATTATAATCTGGGAAAGTAAAAGACTCAGCAGTTAAGAGCATTGGCTGCTCTTCCAAAGAAGTCAGGTTTCACTCCCAGCACCCACGTGGCAGCTCACAACTATCTGTAACTCCAGTTCTAGGGAAGTGACACTTTCTTTTAGCCTCAAAGGTCACCAGTTACAGAACATATACAAGCCACCGAAAGACCCAAGCACATACAATTAATTTTTTAAAATACACATAAAATAAGCAATTTTCTGAAAGGAAACCAAATGGAACCTGTTTTTAGAATTTGAAGCTTCTCTACAACCATCTCCAATGCCACAGACAGGAAAAGTGTAGCAAGGGGATTAAAAGCCCCTACACAAAATAGGTAAAGGAGAAAATCAGCTTGCATGTCCCTCCCCCACACTTTCCACTAAGAAAATTTGCTTACATGACAGAAGTGAATTCCCTTAACACTGTTGCCCATCTTGTCAAGAGGAGGAGACCAGCACATCATGCCCATGACATTGGGAACAACTAAAAGAATACCCCCAGCAACTCCAGATTTTGCAGGAAGACCGACCTAAAATTAATTTAATAAAAGGTGCATTCAAATAAATATTTTAATATTTAAGTCACATTTGAGAACTGCTTCACAATTATGGTACATGTAAGAGCAACCTTGACAACCTGAGTTCAATCCCTGAGACGTACATGGAAGGAAAAAAAGGACTGACTCCACCAAGCTCTCCTCAGACCTCCACAGGGTACAATGACACTTCCAACCTTCCCCTTCCAATAAATAGGTAAATAATTCCCAAACCTTCACCTTCCCCCCCAAATAAACAAATGTAAAAATATTTTAAGTGTATACCCAAATCAGCTAATTTCTACATTAAAAGTATTGTACAGATATGTAACAATATATTTATAATACAATAAATGAGGTTCAAAGGAGCTTGGAATACAGTGGACCATACGGAAAAAAAAAGACATTTTGTAATTTAAAGTACTTCAATCTGAACTGTGGGACTATAAATGTTATTTTACATAGCTGCATTTTCTAATGATGCTAAAAAAGCCTACTGATCCTAAACATAATAGTCTTTTCTAAAAATGCTTGACAGACATAAACCACTGCAGTAATCTTGCAAAAAACAAAGCAAAAAAAGCAAAAAAACTCCATCAGATCAGATGCACCAATTTATAAGAAATACAAGAGAAAACAGAACAAGTACAGAGGAAAATCTATTCTGAGAAAATATACAGGAATAAATGATTTGATGTTTTTAGGTAAAAATTGTAACTTAAAAAGAGATTGCGAAAGAAAAAAGAAAACAAAAACAATTATTAACCTTATTTACTTCCCAAGTCAAACAAAATGTAGAAGTACATAATTTATAGTACAACTAATCTCAATGATTAAGTATTTTTAAATTAAATTTAATAGTAATGTTAAGTGATGACATTAACAGTTTTATATGCAATAGTAAGTTTTTTCTTTTTCTTTTTGGTTTTTCAAGACAGGATTTCTCTGTAACTTTGGAGGCTATTCTGGAACTCACTCTGTAGAGTAGGGTGGCCTTGAACTCACAGAGATCCGCCTGCCTCTGCCTTCCAGCCACAGTAGTTAAGTTCTTTTTTTTTTTTTTTTTTTTGGTTTTTCGAGACAGGGTTTCTCGGTGGCTTTGGAGGCTGTCCTGGAACTAGCTCTTGTAGACCAGGCTGGTCTCGAACTCACAGAGATCCACCTGCCTCTGCCTCCTGAGTGCTGGAATTAAAGGCATGCGCCACCAACGCCTGACCTGTAGTTAAGTTCTTATGGTACTATAATGTTGTGCTATGTGTTTACAATTACATACTAGAATATAACATAAAAAAATCAAGTATGTACACAGACAAAGCAAGATTGGTCATGTATTCATAATTATCAAAGGTGAATGATGAGTAACATGAAATCCATTTCTCTGACGTACTATATCTGAAAACTGCAGGGTCTGCAAAATGGCTCAGTATGGTAAAGGAGCTGGACACTAAGTACAATGACCCAGGTTCAATCCTTTGAACCAAGGCGCAGACACTGAAGCATGAACCACACACAGAAATATATGAAAAAGACAAATTTCTTAAAAAAAAAAAAAAAAGCTTACAGAAACAATTTATGGAAGGGCATTATGATGTAACATAAATAAGATCAAGAAAGAAATGCCTACATATTTCACAAGTGCCAAATACACAAAGCTTAAAGAACATTTTCAAATGGAGAAACCGCCCAGAAAAAAAGAAAAAGAACATTTTCAGTTTTATAATTATGTACTCTTAAGCAAAAACTCGTGTGTGCATTTTCTGAGTTTAAGGACTTCTTGAAATACTATCCACCATAATGCCAAGCATCACAATGAAAATCACAGCAAGTCGGGACTAACCTTGTATCATAAAATGTCTTCAGAAGAAGAGTAGTGGCCCTTTATACATTAAAAGTGACTGAATTTTTAAGGAAATCTTGCATACTATTTAACTCTACTCCTTATTTATTTGTAACCAATTAACATTGGAAACAAGTCTCTCTCCAAAAATAGTAAACAGCTTTAGAAACAAAGTTCAAACTGCATTTTTTAAGTGCCAGTCTAGACTAGTTCCTAGAAAATTAATCAGCAATTACTTACATGGAAGGCAAACTGCCCTGAGAAATCATACATGCCACAGGAATGCATCAAACTCAGGGTATTTCGAACTGCTTCAGGACTGAGTACTCTTTCACCAGTAATCGGGCAGAAACCGCCATTAGCCAACGTCGCAGCCATCACACTGGCTGATTCACATGTCACTTCAATGGAGCATAGCTAAAAATAAGGAAAAAAACAAAACAAAACCCGTGTTATGGAAATTTAGGCTTATGGTATTTTATCTCACCTGCCTTCTATACAATCTATTTTATCTGATATCACCTATAAATCTGAACTATGGCTTCGAAAGGAATGATTTCACTCTATGATTTCAACTCAAAAAAGTTCTAGACATTTTTAGATTTATGCAGATTTGTGAAAATTTATAATATTTTGGTGACTGAATTAGGTGAAAAAGAGCCAAAGCACCCTAAACACTAAGCTTTGTTACTACTTTATACAGTATTCAAACTTATTTAAATATTAATGTTTTCTATTCATCATTATTGTTAATGTAAGAGTGAGAAATAAGCCATAGTATCTTTTAAGATAAAGCAACACCTATCAACAGTATGACATACAGTGTCACATGAAAAATGATCACTAACTGTATGCCCACAGAGGATGTAGGGGCGGGGGATATGATAATGATAAAACACTTGACATTTCACCTATAACAAACCTTATCATTCCACAGCAACAAATAAAGGACAGAAAGAAATATTTAAAACAGCCTGAGTGCTCCATGAACCTATACAATGCTACCATTTAAAGCCCCTATCATCAGTATTCATTTGTTACTTATTTAGACATCAGATATAACATAACAAACAAATAGGAATGGCCTAGGTAGAATGAAATTTTTTAACCTAAATGCCATCAAACTAACAAAAATGAAAGCTGAGCATTTACTGAACAGTAGCACACTCGCCTTCCATGTTAACAAAGTCTGAGTTTGAGCTCAGCACTAAAATATAACATCAACAGCATTAACAATTTAACTCACAAACTCAAATTACCCATAAACCTAAAGTAATATTCATCTACATTTAATTTTTAATTACTGACTTCCCTAACTGCACAATCAAGTGGTTACACTAGCCTACAGAGCAAAAACTTGGTAAATCTAAATAAGATTTAGCCAGGTATGTTAGTACACACCTTTAGTCCCAGCACTGAGCAGATAGATCTCTGAGTTGGAGGCCAGCCTGGTCTACATTTTGAGTTCCAGGTCAGCCAGATCACATCTCAAAACAGAGAGGATGAAGAGTCCTATTATCACTGCCTGAGTAGGGAAATGCTTGGAGAAACAAAATTTAAAATCCCATCATCATTTGCTAATTTATTAATCAAATTTTGCTTGTCATAAAATTAGTCTCTTAACTGGACAAATGCCAATTTAAGAATGATTTCCTGATACTTTGATGCTCACTTAGCTAAATTCAGTTCTCCAAAGAAGAGAGCACCTCTATGGCTGTCTCTTGATTTCTGTACTAAAGAAATCGAAATTTCATAATACATAGTAGTATTATTTAAGCTATAATTGTCAAAATTATATATGTGTTTTATTGGCTACAGTAAAACAAGTGACAGTTTGAGAAGTCACACACAGCTCATGCTATGTTCAATGTTGTACTTGCTGGTGAATGAAATGGGGCGCAGTTTCCAAACAAGTCACTATTGAATTGAATTTTGTATAGACTGGATTCCCAGTACAACTTTCACACTGAGTAAATGTAAATTTAGGACCTGTACTTCCATCAAACTTCATTACCAACCTCCCTTAAACATCCTATAAGGATATTAGAAAGTTAAAATCAAAGTGCCTTCATAGGTCAAGACAAATACAAAGTAAACTAGAAACTTAAAAATGTAGTCTATGCATATTCCTATTACACCTTGATTAGGTAAAAATACATGGGGACAGGAGGAATTTCAAAAAGGCTGTATTAAAGAGGTAACTGAACCATAGGAAATTATGTGTGTGGGATGCTCCCTGACATGACATAAGTATAAAAAACTCTTAACGTACAGGAACACAGATACTTTGTGACATGTGCTGAACTATTCCAGTGCCAATTAAACCAGGATCAAGAAGATGCAGTAAGAGAAAATAGCAAGATAGCAAAAGAGAATGACATTGTGAAATGCTGATTGAAGCTCTCTAAAAACCAAATAGTTTTCCTTGGGAAAATATAATAACTAAGAAAACAGAGTGGGAAAAATCAGTTTCTGGAACTGCAAATCCTTATTTAAATGTATTTCTACACTGTTTTCCTTGTTCATTCTGATGTGTGAATTCTTAGAACATATGGACATATTAAGCAGCCTTTCACAATATTTTTGAAAGTAAAGGAAAACTTATTTTCAAAGCCTAGGGTCAGTGTTTCCAAGATTTTTAGATTTTATAAAATGTGGTATCTATTTACAAAAGTAAATTATATATCAAGAGTAAAAATTACCTGGAAATAAAAATCTAGTATCCCAACCATGTCTGTGCCTTCTGGAAAGCACTGAAAAAAAGCAAAGTCCAAATACAGAAAAGCAATGAAAACTCAAGCAAACAAGCAAAATCACATAAGAAAATATACCAGTTTAAGACATAAAAAATGTTTCACTGCATAGCAGATTAGTATGGAATCCATAGAGCATAAATATAAAGTTATGTCATCTTATATAAATTCCTAAATTTTCTTAAGAGAAAAAGAATAAGTAATTTGTAATTTATCATCATACTGAACCACACTAGTCAGACACTGCATTTCAGAAATGCATCAAACTTCAACCAGAATTTACACTAACATCAAATATTTTAATACTACCAGACACATAAAACCAATTTAATGTTAACATTAGTAATTTATTAACACGACTCAAGAGTACTTTCAAAACTTTTCACTTTACATAATTAAAAGCTATTGTTGAGCTCTTACATGTCATTTTATTAAACATAACTATAAATAGAAACAAAAATTTAAAAACCTTCTTTTCTTTTAAGTAATATCCTATTGCAAAATTTCGGTCTCCACTTTCTCTTTCAGATTGAAACCTAAAAGAAAAAAAAAATGGCTTCACTTTATGACTGCTCTTGAATTTTATCAAAAAACACAGTATAAAAAAGATGGTGATCTAACACTCAGGACTGCAGTTAGTCTCATTTCTCTCAACGTAACAGTTTTTACTGCCTTGGGTACAAGTCTTTATTTACTATTTGAAAGGACTGACATGAACTCATCCTTCCTAAACGTCATACATTCTGAACGAAGTAACTAAAACAGAAAGATTGCTAAACTGCCTTGTAGAGTCACAAAGGCACAATATACTGAGGGAACTGATGGAATTTTGGTTTCATGTCACATAAAAAGGAACCTTGAAAACTCACTGGATTAAACAGTGGCAAATACCATGAAGCAGAACAAGTACAAAAGTATGAAAGAATGGCTAACATCTGATGCATCTGGGAAATGGTACGTAGAAAATAAAGGAAGACCATCAAATTGCCAGAACCTAGGACAATTTTGGGTGTGTGTGTGATGGAGACAGGGTTTCTCTTTGTAGCACTGGCTGCTCTTGAACTCAAGACAGCTGCCTGCCTATGCCTCCCAAGAGCTGGGATTAAAGGCACGAAGTACCACAGATCAGCTGTCAAATATTTTGTAAAGTTTTCTGTCTGCCTATATATAGGTGCTTGGCCTCCATACAGGCCAAAAGAAGTCATCAGGTCCCCTGGAACTAAGGTTGCAGATGGTTGTCAGCCACTGTGTGGGTGTTGGGAACTGAATCCAAGTTCTCTGGAAGATTAGCCACAGGTATTAAACATGAGCCATCTCTTCACCCCCCCACCCCCACCCCACCCCTTATTTTTAGAGGTATTAAATGTCAAAACTGCACACAAAGCACATGCTGGAAGACTTTTAACTAAGTTTCCCTGTCAGATCTGTATTTTCAAAGAATAATAGACACCAGTTGGGGAAAGGGAAATAAAGAGGATCCAGTGATACAGCAGATTACTGGAACAAAAACTGAAGAAGTCTGCAGTTAAGGAGGAAGGATATGAAAGGAGGGCTGTGATCAAGCATGTATATAGCTGGCTGAGTCTGGCACAGGAAACAGAATAGACAGGGAGAAGTCTCGCCTAAAGCTCTCTGTTAACATTTTACACGGAGATTCCTGGCGGAGCTAGAAGAGAATGACTTATAATGCAGGTAGAATATACAGTAGATGTGAGAGATCACCCTAAAAGACTCCAGAGGCAGAATAATATTTCTACTGAACAGGAGCAGAACTAAGAGTGACACTCAGGATTACAGAAGTGGACACAGTACTTTCTACATTTCTATAGTCTGAAAATAATAAATATGGAAAAACTCTTACCTCCATTTCTCTCCCCTTTCCTTCCTGGCACTAGGGAATAGATGAGGGCCTCAGGCATATTAGGGAAGTGCTCCACCAATGACCTATTTTCCTCAGCCCTCCTTTGCTTCTTATCCTGAGATCTTACTCTGCAGCCCAGGTAGGCTTGAATTTAGCAATCTCCTGGTCTCAGATAAGCTAGGATTTACCTGTGCCACTAGGCTGTTTGGTATCCCTTAAAAAACAAAACATGCTGGGCATTGGTGGCACACGCCATTAATCCCAGCACTCAGGAGGCAGAGGCAGGAGGATCTCTGTGAGTTAGAGAACATCCTGGTCTACAAGAGATAGTTCCAGGACAGCCTCCAAAGCCACAGAGAAACCCTGTCTCAAAAAAAACAAAAATAAATAAATAAATAAATAAATAAAACACAAAAGCCTAGCTTATTTAAGGACACAAAAATTCTTTATGAGATCCCAAGAAAGCTACCTGGAAAAAGGTAAGCTGAGGTAGTAGCACCTCTGGTCTTTCCAAGCAAAAGAATCTGTCTGTTCCTGCTCTGTAAAACAAGTAGCTTGAGCCTTCAAAAATAAATGAATAAACAAAATTACAACCCCACAAAATAAAAATTTAAACACAAAGGCCTAGAAACTAAACTGTTCTGCTTTAGCGACTCAACAGAGAAACAAATTTGATTAGCTCCTAAAAATTATGAATACCATAAACAACATTCAGCCATTTAATAAAATCACTCATGTTCTATGCTTGAATGTATCATTGATAATATGATTATGTAGGATAACAGGGGGCTGGAGAAATGGAATAATGATTAAGAGCATTTGCTACGCTTGCAGGGACCAGACTGGCTTCCTTAGGTGGCTCACAAGGCCTTATCTCCAGCTCCAGGGGATCTGATGCCCTCTTCTGGCATCCACAGTCACCCCAACAAAGACATACTCATTAAAAATAAAGAAGTATGCACACACAGAAATTTACATGTACATATACTTATTCTTGGAATATGTACTGGGTGATTTAAGGATGAAGTATTAATAACATCTACAGAATGATTTCAAGTGATTCAGCAAAGAAAAATTTGGATACATCTCTATTAGAAAAATCTATATGCAAACAAATGTATAAACGAACACACACACACACACACGCACACACATACACACATTAAATATAAGTAAAAGACAGGCATCTTTCAACTTTTTTAAGACTAAAAATTTCAAAATAAAAAATTAAGGTTAAAAAAAAAATCACCTTAGCCAGATATAGAGAAATGAGGTAAGACAAGTATTGTAGCCAAAACCAAAATTAAGTAAGCCCAGGTATTTTGAGATAAACTTGAGGTCCCTTCTGAGTCTATGATTACTTTTATGATATTTATTAAAACTTTTGAAAAGTATTTTTAAATGTTTTTCCTTGATTTATTATTAATTAATTAATCAACTTTTCCCCCAGCTTTATCAGTTCCCCTTCGTTCCTCATCTCCCCCCAGTCTCTCTCCCCAACCATAGTATATCAGCCATGGTATATCAACTTGCAATGAGACTAGGCACTTCCTCTCCTATTGAGTCTAGATGAGGCAACCATTAAGAGGAAAGCATCCCAAAAGCAGGTATAGAGTCAGAGATATAGATACCCTGCTTCTACCCAGAAGATCAAGTTACACAATTCTTTCTTTCTTTCTTTCTTTCTATCTATCTATCTATCTATCTATCTATCTATCTATCTGTATAAATATACACATAGATAGATACACACACACACACACACACACACACACACACACACACACACACACACACATATATATATATGGGGGGCGGGCCTAGGTCAGTCCCATGCAGGCTCTTCTGGTTGGCAGCTCAGTCTGTGTGTCCTTATGAGCCTGTGAGCTCAAGGTTAATTGATTCTGTGGTTTTCTTGTAGTATGCTTGACCCCTTTGGCTCCTATAAACCCCCTGATCATTCACAAGATTCCCTGAGGCATAGGTTTGGCTATGGGTCTCTGCTTCTTTTAAATGTTTCTTTCAGGTAATTTAGACCTGACTAATTTCACTCTAATGATCAAATTCTAAGTAACCATTCACTGAAGTAAGTTCTAGAGCCATAAGTAGACTGTGTGCATGTGCCTATGTAAAGTATGTGTATGCTTGAATGTGTTATATGTAAGAAGTAAAACAGTATTAAAATAAAATTCTATAATCTAATCATCAGGTGAATCTAAGGAAGTCTGATCAATTATAAAAGCCCAAGCAACAAATTAGACTCACGTTGCATTACTGAATCCAACATATTCATTACCAGCCATCTTATTCAAAAATTGCATCACCTATAAACCAAATTAAGAGTATTAGTAACCAAAATTAAATACTTGAAGAATGTATACAAAAGCATGATTCTGTGTTGTACTTACATAGTCGAACTTCTCGGCATTATTTACTCCTTGCTGCAAAGAAATGAAAGGTAAGTATGTTAATACAAACACTACTAAGGTTAAGTACAAAGTTAATACAATACAAACTTTAAATTGCTACCATTGTAATCAATGAACTGCACAGTACTTTTACATCTAGGAAATCCTAGAGTATCTTAGTATTTAAACTTTTGTACAAGTCAACACCGTATGTTGAAAAAAAAAATCAAAAATTACAAAGGGAATATATATTTTAAGAATGTATTTACTAATCTCAGACTTACAGACTACAAGTTACCCTGGAACCCCCTATCTTTCATAACAGCAAGTGGTTTGCTAAAATGTTAATTTCAGAGTTTCAAAAACTTTTAAAAATTCACCCTTAAAATATAATATATAAAGCATGATTTTTCAATTAAGAACAATGTATTTTTGAAAAGCAGAGTCTAAACCAGTATTGAGTTAGAAAACTGAGTTGTGACAAAACTGACTCATCTTTTCTAATTCTAATATATGCAAATGCTGGCTACATTACACTAGCATGGATAAAGTTCTACCCTCAGTTACTCTCACTGATAACACTACTTGAGCTAAAACTGTTTACTTCATAGTTCTAAAAATCAACTTCAATTATGTTTAACATTATGCCAATTCAGAGTGTGGAAGATGTATTGTTTCATTACTTCTAGTTCTGACATGTTATCTACCACAAATATTATTAGGAAAACGCCTGCGTAATGAAGATCAGTTCAAGTAGCCAAATGGTTTCATTTTACCTCGGCGAAGTTTACAAAGCAGTAAGCTGTAGATCTGAAATCAAACGTATTAATTGGTGATATGCACCCAATAGAAACAATACATCTCTAAATTTCTAAAATAGGATTCAAATCAAATAATTTGACAACCATTTTAAAAAGCAAATTGTTAAGAATCTACCCTCAAAGTCTGAAGCACTCTAATTTGGAATGTGGTTACAGTGAGTTTTTTCCAGAGTGTCATCTACTGAAATAAGCCAGGTCCATCCTCCCTATGGGAAGTCATGACTGACAAATATATAAAACCCTACAAATCAAACTATTTAGAAAGTACAGTCACACACACATAATAGTAAGCAACGGGAGGAAACACCAGAGTATGTCATCCAAATTAGACACTAACAAAACTTAAATAATGTAAATAACTTAATGATAGATTGTAACCCCCGTTACAACAGGGTTATATATTTTCTCTAAAGCATCCTGACATTTTTAAAGCTTTCTTATAATATACCAAAATTAAAAATGTAGACATGTAACTCCAAAGCTGTTCAATGAAAAATAATTAAAAGAAGAAATTACCAACTTCATTGAACTGTTGCGGTTGTCAAAATATTCCATAGATCCTAATGCTGTAAAATATGTAACAACATTTAAGCCACGAAAACCTTTTTAACCTTAGAAAAAGCACAAAAAAAAAAAAAAAGCACAACTGTGTTGTCACATGGAATATCACTGGTCACACAACTAATTAGTATAAAATAAACAAGTTACATTAAACTTTCATTCTCTAACCTAAGCTGTACCCTGCAAAATTAATACAAGTTTTCTTTGTTGAATTATAATGTTTAATATAAAAAACATTTCAACTCTAGATTTGGTCACATAGTTGGTCTATTTTATAGCTTGCAAAACTTGAATTTTGCTTTTAAATTGTTTTTAAAAAAACAAATTTAATTCCAACACTTGGGAGGCAGAGGCAGGTGGATCTCTGTGAGGTCAAGGCCAGCCTGGTCTATAGAGGGAGTTCCAGGACAGGCAGGAATATGCACAGAGAAACCCTGCCCTGGAAAAAAAAGAAAAGAAAAAGAAATAACCTGTCTTTATTGTATTACTTATTGCATTCTGAATCTATTATTATATAATGTTTTTAATAGGGATCTGAAATACCCTAAGCATATTTATATAAGTAGGGAAAAATAAACTGCTAAATGGTTACAATGACTAAAGAGTATCTCTTTCCCATTTAAATGTAAAAGCATTTGATTAATGCTTGTTCTTATCTACCCTGCAAATTGGGTTTAACTTAATTCTTTACAATTTAGTTGCCGCCCTATCTTTTGGAAAGATTGCCTGCAACAGATGAATAGATAGGATAGATGGGACCTAATTATAATATTGAAATGTTAAGTAAAAAGCATTTGTGCAAAGAAAAACTGAAAAAAAAAAAACAAGATAATCAATTTGCTATGGCACAGTAAGTTGAGAGGGGTGAAAGAATAGACATAATAACTGAAGCAGGGAATGGGTAAGTGGGGCTGGTCATTCTATTCTGCCTGTTCATGATTGAACTGTTCATAGTAACATGTTTGAAAGAAGATCCTGATTTACTAAAATCATCTTGCACACTGATTTGTGTAATTATCTTTTACATCATTTCTTTGGTCTTCAAAATTATATGTGATTTTTAGTTCATATGTCAAATAATAGTTTCTACTGACAGAACATGGTATGAATTCTCACACCACAGTTTATGAGAAAGGTTTCTTAATGTCTGTATAATCAATAAGCAGATTGACATGAACAAGGTTTCGTTACAGCAATATTACTCAGTCCTGAACCTTTCACATAGTAATCAATATTGTAGTTCATCTCAACCTGCGTAGGACTCATTTCAATTTTGTTAAACTAAACAAAGGGAACAACCTAGAATACTGTTATTGGTAAAAACAATTTTTACCAGGCATTACTTTGATTCACAGGCTTAATATTACTAACTTCAGTACTTTAAAGTGCTGTCTCATTAGCAAACAAGATTTTTACCCTAGAGCAGTGAATTGTAATAAAATTTGGAACACATGAGAAGGGAACATAAAAAACACATATGGAAAGTAATGTTCTTAAACTACAATGCTCCTTGCCCCTTAGTCCTCCCTTCATGTACCAGGAATAAATTTATTCCAGCATGAAGCTCACAGTACAAGCACTATTACATACTGTGCTGAAAACAGTCACAGAAATTTGCAGTAAATTGGAAGAATTTTAAAGAAATTAAACTGGGTAAATATATTTTAAAATTTTAATCTATTTACTAAATGATTTTTTAAAGTAAACCTTGTAGTCCATTTGACAAGAGTAAAAAGCAATGCTCAAAAATTTTAAAAATTAAGAACTTATATAAATGTGTGTGTTAAACTATATAATTTATATCTCTTGAATGAAAAGTATAAGTGAAAATTTAACAAAGGTTATGGAGCTTTAATTCTATTAAAACAATTAATTTAAGTGCTAGGGAGGTAGGTCGGGGTACAAAGCGCACCTAGACCCACAGCCTATGTTTGATACCTAACATCACAAAAAATAACACATAAATTGAAAGAATTAATTGTAACTATGTGGGCATATTTTAATATCTAATTTTACAACATATTCATGAATAAATTCATAACTGTGCAACAAGTATACCTGGCAAAACTAAAATGTTTCATTAAACAGCCAATGTTTACCAATTATTATGAAATATGGTCATAAAGAGTAGACATGCAAGTCAAATATTAGAGATCACAGAAGAAAGAGGCAAAGAGAGGTTATAGAATATGATTTTATAAAATAGTCTTGGTGCCACAGAAGAATCTCCCCAAATTAAATATTACTAAACTACAAATTAGTATTAAAAGCAAAAGGTAACATTGCTCTAGATCTGGGTTTTAGGGCTTTTGAGACAGGGCCCTACTATTACCTCTGGATGGCCTAGAATTCATGATACACACACGACTGACATCAGACTCACAGAGATCCTGCTTCAGAGAACTGGGATAAAGACATGTGCCATTGTGCCCTGCTGATCTAGTATTTTTATAGATTATCTCTAAAAATAAAGGAACAGAACAATTAACTCAGTTGGGAAAAAAAAACTACCTTTCATTAAAAAAAAAAGAAAAAAAACCCTCAAATGTATCTACTAATATAAACCTTATGTAAATAAGCCACTAAACTACTGTGTTCTAAATGTGCCAAGCAAGCCCAGGACATCAGGCACTACTGCAAAAAATGACAGACACGTGGATTTTACTAAGAAATCTGCCAGATTATGGCTAATGTGGCAAATGGAAAATAGCATAGAGATGAATTAAATTTGTCTTGAGTTTTTACAGAGCAACACTTCAAAATCATGAATGTTGCAATTAAAAAAAAATGTGATTGCTTCCTAAAATAGGGAAAAAAAACCCACATAAGCAAACTTGTTCATGTAATAAAATTTAGAACGACCACTAGAACAGACATAATATAGAATACAGTGTAGCTTACTATATTTCCAAAATGAAAATGCAATAGTGACAATCATTTTGTAATATGTTGCCCTCAGTTTCCTACCCCAATACTCAAGGCATCAGACTTTAACTTTTAAGATAAAACTAGGCTGTTTTATCACTGAAAAACAAAAACATGAAATATGCCTTTTCATCTAAACATAACTATCCCTCTTATTTTCATTTTTTCCTTTAAACCACACAATCACACATTATCATCATGAGATAAAACAGACTATAACAAAGTATTTCCTTAAAGTTAGCAGCTACTAGAGGAGAAAATCGAGTAAGAGTAACCCTTAATGTCTTTTAATTATGTGCATTTTAAGTGTAAAATTACATTTGTTTTTAAAAAGGTATTTACCTATATAGCTTTGTTTAAAATTTTAAATATTGGAGTTTTCCTATAAGCTTAGTGGTTAAGAATTAATGCAACAGGTTCCTTCTGTCCAAATCCTCCTTTTTCCACAATCTGCTAATCCTTTTGAACATTTGCTCTGCCTCTTCCCCCATTTCCTGAGGATCACCACCAATCCTACAAGGAAAAAATATCAATACTACAAAATTATGAAATAAAGAGTCTTACTAAAGACTCTACTTTTTTGGGAGGGATGTAACATGAGATTTGTTGCAATGGCACCATAACAAAGCCCCAAACTTTGAATGGAAAAACAAACAAAACAGTCTTTAGGTTAAGACAAGAGCTAAAAGTATCTGGTAACCATGGAACGAAACCTGCTTTAAGGAATTCAAGTTCAAGCTCCTTTGAAGGAGCCTGTTTGTATTCGGAGAGCAGGCACCAAATACATCCATTTAAAAAATAGATGCAGATTTTATGGCCAACAAATCACTGTCTTTTATACAAGTGAAAATAACACAGTATTTCTGATTTTATAACTGCTAAAGTCAAAGATGTCATTAGGTGAAATGGCAATCCCCTACATTAAATATGGCACAGGTTTTATTAACTCAACTTCAAACCATTACTAATTCATATACATAATCACAAAGAGACCACATAACGATACCTAACAAATCTAAATTCTTTAACCTAAGAAATGTTGTCTCTTCTAGGGCAGTTTTACAGCTGTACCAAGTTTCTACCTTTTAAGATTTACATTATGTTCAGTTAAAAAAAAAATACTTGTGAAACATAGTCTGAAAACAAAGACTCAAAGATAATGAGTTTAAATATGAACTGCCAACTTTGCTGGTAAATTAAAATTTTACAAATTTAAAACCGGTCAAATTTATAAATACAAATGACTTTTCTTTACTATTGGACCCTGAACTTCATTCATTTATGTTGCTTGTGTGTTTCTTTACTGTTCCTAATTGTTCACCCTACTGTGGATCAATGTGGCTTATGACATATGACTAACTATGGTAAGTGAAACTAATGAAATGATGGAGTGGTATGACCAGACATGCAATTCCCACATGCAGCATGTCAGTGTACTTGACGAAGTCCATAAATCAAACAAAGGATTTTAACTACATGCAGTTATGGAGGCATTTTGTAAATCATTTACATATGCCTTCTAAAGAGGACCCTATTGGAGTGCATGTTAACCTTCTCCAATGTGACCACTCCCCACCGGATTGTGACAGGATCTTACTTCCTATAGCAAGGACTCATCTCAATTGTCCCAGTCTACCTTTAAGTCTATGTAAATGAGGAACCTTGAACTCTGACAGTCACTCCACTGAAGTAGTTTTTAAGATGGACTCCATGAATCATCTTCAAGAAGATAAATGAACCCACTAAAATATATGTAAAATCATGGAATCTGGGCATTTTGTGAAAGACCCAAAAATGGTTTAGAGCCATTCTAGTATTCTGAAAGCTAACCATTAACAGAGATTGTAGATTAACTTTCATTAGTTCTAATTCATTGCTTGCCCAACTCTGAATAATTAGTGAGACTTTCTCTCAAAAAACATTTACTGGATTTGGTGATAAAGGCTCATTTAACTATGTATATTTCATACTTAAGGACACTTAGGCACAGAGCTGTGCCTTGTATATAACCGAACTGCTGGTTTCTACAATAATTTTTCACCTCAGGATAACTAGATAGCAGAAGGTTACTAAAACTAGCTACATTAAAACTAGATTATAAAATCAACTTAATTAGTTAAGTGGGCCAATGCTTTTAAGTCATTGCCCTAAAATAAGCATATTTTAAGATGGTAGTTTTCTGCTTTGAAATGCATTGACAGTTAACACAGGACTTCTATTATAGCAATTAGATGAATTTCTGTGAACTGGGCTAAGCCTGTAATTTACCCTTCAGCATTTTGTTTGTATCCAGAGTACCCCATCTATAGTAATCCATGTACAAGTCCATGAATTATGATTTATTCTAACCTGAAATAGACAGGCATAAATTTACTGAGGAACGTAAGTGTCCCAAACACAAAATTCATTTTAATAAGTAACACAATTAGAAATTTAAAATGAAAAGGGTAGGGGGTCTGAAATTGTGTGATAAATATAAGTCTATCACACAAAAGAACCATTTTGAAATACTTTATTTCAAAACATTAGCTTCCAATTATTAAAGCAATACAAACACTAACATAAATAAGTCAACATACAATGCAAACACAGAAACATAAGTATGTAATAATTGGAAGAATCCTTACTTTTTTTTTACTTATGACATGATATAAGTAAAACAAATGAAAGAAATTTTAATGAGAATTATGATCCCAGCTTACAATTATAAAAACAATTTACTGTTCTTTATAATAAATGTCTTAAATGGAAATTAGGACATTTGCTCCTACATTTACTAATAAAAATATAATATAGAAATTGCTTCTTTCTAGAAAAAAATTCTTTCTAGAAGCAAAGAGAAAGAAAAAATATTAAAAGCCTTAAAAAGAAACACCCCAACTCCTACTGATCTGCAAAGTTCTTAAATCTGTGCCAAAGCTTTACATCCAGAAGTTAACTAATGGTTGGAATTCATGGTCATATATTTTTCATTCTGTCCTTGAAATGACATCACTGGAGGGTTGGGGGGAGGAGCAAATAAAAACCCTAACAAGACTATTTGCTTAATTCCAAGAGAAAATGTATCATAGTCCTATGTAAACAATCCAAAATACATATTTATTCCTTGGCAATTAACTTTTACTAGGTTAAAAGGAAACGTCAACATTTTACCTTAATTAGGGAAGTCACAACAATTGCTCCAGCATTTACCATAGGATTATGCGGTTTATCTGTAAAACAAAATCGACAGCATTGTTTCAAATAGTTGGTACCATTTTCATGGATGGGCAGGTACTCTTCTGCAGGGAGAATTGTTTGGAGTCAAGTACAAATCCAGCCAGTTGTTCACACCTAAGATTCTGTGGTAATCATATAGTAAAAAAGAATTCACACAACAGTGTGTAAAAAGTCATGTTAAAAGCACATCCAAATTCTGTAACCCTGCCATTTCACTCTCAAATTTCTATCTCAGATTCATAATGATTGAAAATATCTGTTACTGTGATTTTAGTTCACAAACACATACACATAGCTAACACCTACTAAGCTGAATGATATTATATTTAAAATATTTGAAAAATCCCTGTGGAAAAAATAATAAAACCCAGAGACAGATATTAGAGTTCAAGCTGAAGAGATCAGAAAAGCAAAGCAGCCAACCACTAGCTCTTACCTCTACCAGGGCTGGGGAGATCCTGTCTTCATGGTGACTGGAGCCTGAAATGCCACGACACTGAAAGTCTGCTCTGAGATTCTGTTCCTGTCTCAGCCTCTCTAGTGCTGGGATTAAAGCCAAGAGTGCTGTTTCTCTTTAGACTGATTCACTCTCCTGTAGCCGTGAGTGGCCTTGAACTCACAGAGATCCATCTGCCTCTGTCTCCTGAGTCCTGGATTAAAGGTGTGTGACACCAATGCCTGGCCTCTATGGCTGTGGCTAGCTTTGCATTCTGATCCTTCAGTCAAGCTTTATTATGTCATAAACAACAATGTATCACCACAAAGCCCATATGATGTGATCCCAATTTTACATTTTAAAAAGGTTCTTGGACTTAATGCAAATGAGTGTGCATGTGTAGCCACTGAAGAACAAATAAAAACACTAGTGATATGTCTAAATAGTAAGATTACAGGCAGTTTACATGTATTTTCCATACCTTCAACATTTCCTGGCAGTAAAGGATCCATTTCTTATATGTATTTTTGAATATTTTATTTTTATTCTGTGTATTTGCCTGCATATATGTATATGCACCACATACATGTGTGTTGTCTGAAGAGACCCTGGAATTGGAGTTACAGAGAATTGAAAGCTGCCATGTGGGTGCTGGAAACTGAACCTGGGTCCTCTCTAAGAGCAGTATGTACTCTTTTAATCACTGGCCCATCTCTCCAGCCACTTTTCTAAAAATAAAATTTAACTTTTAAGTTAACCCATAATCCTACTTCTTCTGATTCCTAAAATGATTTTTAATAGCTTAACTTATTTCAATTCTTAAATTTAAAATTTTTAAATTCTTAAGTTTTTAAGAGTTTAAATTTAAATTCTTTAAATTCCCAATTTTAATTCTTAAATGTAAAAGCTTAACAATTCTAATTCTTAAATCAATTGTTAAAAGTTTACTACATTACCATTCACTGCACAATATATTATGATCACAAAATTCTTGCATTAAAAATATCCACTTGAAAACATATTTCCAGCAAGATATGGAGGTGCATTTTTCTAATCCCAGCACTCAGGATCATGAGTTCAAGACTAGCCTGGGCTACATGAGTTCTTACCTTAAACTTCCACTTCTGTGGTAATGATTCATTTCCTTGCGATCAGCTTATCGAACCTCACAGTCCTAGCACACACATTTACCTACACAAATTTACTGGGTTCCTTGAATTTAGCAAGCTACATTCTACAAGACAAGACTTTAGCTAAATCTGTGAGCTCTGAAAAAGCAGTCAAATGGTTCCTTAAAATAATAAACAGAGTCAACATGGAACCAGCCATTCCATTTAGCTATATTGTTAAACAAGAGTAGTAAGTCTAATGTACCATCAGCTAAAAGGTAGATAAATTAGTATTACTCATGATGGAATATTATAAAAAGGAATAAAACTTAATAAGTTTATTACCTTGAACATATTAAGCTAAGAAAAACTAGTCATAAAAGATCAAATATTAAGTGATCCCATTTATCTGAAGTTTCTCAAATAAAAAAATAGAAGTAAATTGCTAGGTTCTAGGCTTAAAAAGAAACGGAATATCTAGTGAATATAGAATTTGTTTTGATGTGATGATTTCATAACTATAAATATAGTAAAAGCTACTGAATTGTATACTTTTGCTACTGTTTTTATTTTGGAATAGTGTAAATAACCCAGGCTGACCTCAAACTCATGACTCACTTATGCACAACTGAGAGATGAGGCCAGAGATGAGGTCTGCATATTCCAAACCCAGCCTCAAACTGTACACTGTCAATGAATAAACTGCACTATTTATGACTTGTATCATTGATTTTGAA